TGACACTTTTTTGATATCTTTTACAGGAAACATGCCGTATAACGTAAAACCTGTAATATAAGGGCTCCCTCACTTTTAACTTTGAGCCAATTTATCTCTGTTCCTGTTAAAGATATCAAAAAGTGGTCAACTAACATAATAATTACCATAATATCAATAAAACGTTGTTAATAGACTACTTTTTGATATCTTTAACAAGAACCGAGATATATGGGCTCGAAGTTGACGGTTTGAGGGGCGCTCTATGAGAGAGTTTACGGTAGTTACAAAAGTTGTTAAAATAAGCTAAAAGTACACGATGTGTAAGAATAAATCCCAGAATCCTAATTCAAACAGAACGTAATAGTAGCCACCGAAGTCGCAAAAAAAGAAGAAGAAGAATTGGCGACCTCCATCCCTCGGACATGTAAACATATAACAAAGTTATGGCATGACCCAAGAAGGCGTCATCTGAGTCATTTTTTTGTTTCCGAAAAAAAACCGAAGAGATGTGTGGAAGCACAAAATGATGAGGGGAAAAGAGAGGAAATTGCGAAATGCATGAGAGTTCTCGTAAACAACAACCGTCCCAGAAAGAAAATAAGGGATGAAGAAGCAGAAGGAGAAGAGAATAGGGCAATTCAAGGAGAATAGAGAGAATTGAGCAGGTGGAAAGAAAAAGGTTGTCTTGGTTACCAGATGTGAATCGTGGGATAATTTCTGAGTTTGAAGCTCAGTCACTGATTTTTTTCCCCAATACAACAATGGTACACTAACAACACTCCATCACTATTTGGCCCAACTGGAATCCAGAATAGACTTTGTGCAAAAAATTTTTATGAAAAAATATAGAAAAAAAAACACACGGAGAACAATTTTCGCATCATCAAAAAATCAAGTATTCAAGGGTTCTTGAGAGCACAACGAGTGAGAAAAAGAGAGAGAGAAAAGAGAGATACACACATTGGAATTATCTTTTCAAAACCGGAATGCCGGTCTCGGCACACTGGTCGGTGTCTCTGTTTTTTTGTTGTGGCACTTAATCGGCACAATTTTAGAGTAAAAATGATGGAATTGGATGGGTTGAGTTTGAAATTCAAATCGACAGGTTACACTCTAATGACATGGCGCGGAAACCAATTCTACTAATTATGGGGTTCTCAAATTAGGAGGAAAGGTCAAACACACTCAGGTAGTTCGGAAAACCTTTCTGAGCCATAAGCAAGCCACGATTAAACTAAAAAAGGTGCCCGATTAGCCACGGCTGAAAAAGTTTATAAAGGGCTTAGAATAGTTTCGTTGTTGCTTAGAAAAGTTTATCCATTGCTCGAAAAAGTTTGAAAGTGCTAATAATAGTTTTACTGTCGCTTAAAAAGGTTTACTCGTTGCTTGAATAAGTTAAAGAAAGGCTTAGAAAAGTTTTTTTGATACTTAAAAAGGTTTATTCGTTGCTTAAAAAAGTTGTTTTACTGCTAAAAAGGTTTTATCGTTTCTACTAAAGGTTCAAACTATTGATTCTTTTGAAGACGGATTTTCAGAAAATACATTCATTAGAGAAAAAGAAATTAACAAAAAAAAACAAGAAAATTTAAACTGAAGTGGAATCTCGATCCCGAAACATCTCCGGACCTCAGAGCGCATCCCCGTTGTTATCAGCCCGATATCATATCCTCCTGGAGATATTCAAATTTTCAGAAATAGATATTAAGAGCTAGAACTCACTGTTATGGAAGGCGTTCTCTCCTGATTCATACGTAGTTTCGATAGTGTCTTTGGAGCGGGTTCATGTGATCGCGATCATGATCTAGTCTTCCTCATATTGGTGTAACACGATTTTCCAAATTGTCGCTTCGGAAGATTGAAGTTTCTCCTTGTCTGAAATTATGATAAATAAATTCATTTTTTACTAAAACTGATGAACCGTAGGATAAATTACTCCGTTCTGACGGCAGGTTTGAATTCCCATTCAATGATTCATCGTGACGTTTTTCCGATGATATGTAGTTCTTGAGCAATAGATTATGATTCCATGAGATTGTGATTTGGATCTTCTCTCAAATAACGACTTTCAAACATATGGAAACGAACAAAAAATTAAAAGATGGTAAAAATAAAACAAAAATAGGTAAAATAATTTTTAAAAAACAGAATAAATATTTCGAAAAGGCATAAAAAGTTTTAATAAGGCTCAAAAAGGTTTGAACAGTTTAAATATGACTGAAAAAGGTTTTACTGAGGCTTTAAAAAGTTTCAGTTTCGAGCGCAGCTGGATAAAGTTTACAAGTTGCTTAGAAAAGTTTGAAAAGTTTGATTGTGGCTTGAAAAAGTTTAATCGTGGACTTTTTGCTTGAAAAGGTTTCAGAATTGCTCAAATGTTGCTCAGAATGGTTTTCCAATTTACCTGAGCAGACGAAAGATTTTGAATTGTTTCTTTATATTCTTTTTGTTCGAAATTTTGAATTCAGATTTGATGATTTTCAGATATACTTTTTCTGATGGAACACATTTGGAAATTCGGAAAAAATCCAAAATTAATTTTTTCAAAAAAATTTTTGGGAATTTTTAAAGTTTCAGTATTTTTCTATCAGAAAAAGCACATTTGAGAACCCTAAAATTGTTTTTGTAGTCTGTAGTTCGTCCATTCGCCTGAATTACCTAGGTTTCGAAATGACCGGCTTCGAAATGGCTGGTTTCGAAGTGTCGCGGTTTCGAAGTGACGCGAAGTCCGAATTCCTACTAATATGACTTTCAATTATGTTTTTTTTTAATTTATATCTCACTGCAATTTTCACCACAAAAAATGTCATGCAAAGAGCCCATATAACCTACCGTAGTCCTCGTCCATTTTCTCCTTTTTAATTGTGTGGGTGATTGAATTGCCGACGCTTCTTCTACAGTAATCCTCCTTCTAGATTTGAGTGGTGATTGACCCATCAACTACAGTAACCCGCGATTTCTGAATTTTGAAGAAGTTGAGGTTTTTCCAAATGGGTCCTGCTTGATGTGAAGCTAACAGTTCAAAATACGACACCCAAAAAGTTCGAACAAATTCTGAAATGCTTACAACACTCAAGACCTAAAATGTTTACGAATTCTTAAATTTGTTTTTCCTGAACGGAAATTTTCAATTAATCATAACATCTAGAAATGAAATCACATACTACTTGAAGTGAACAAAACAACACAAATCCGCCAGCACAGCTGGATACCTTATATGTCAATTGAACTGACCTATTTAATGCGTTTTTAAGTATTCAGAACAGGTGGACGACGTATTTAGAAATGAGAGGAGAAGAGGAAGGAGAGGTATAGAACCCGAAAAAGAAGAAAAAGAAGAAGAAGGAGAATAGAAGCATTCGAAGGCAAGTGGTCCCCTGTTTATGGGCGTGCTCCCATGGAAATTGCTAGAAGAATAAAACAAGAGAAAGAGAAATAAAGGAATTGAATTGAAACGCAGAGTGTGGAGTTAATGAGTGCTGCTGCATGGAAACGGAAGATGTCGTTTGAAGAAACGTCGTCAAAAGAAAAGTAGAAAGAAAAAGAGAGGAAAGGAAACATAATTAGGAAAACTATCTAGCGCTCTTTTTCAGACTCGATATTTTGAATGACTCTTTTTTTTTCAAAAACTGTGTTTAAACTGTGTTTTTTTTTCAAAAACTGTGTTTATACATACATATGACATCACGGTTCACCCCATGATCTTATGACTGATGAAATTTAATATTATTTTTTCTGATATATGAAGCGTTTGATACAATGAATCAGATTATCCGAAACCCCCTTCTCAGAAATACGAGTACAGTAAATAATTGCAAAATAAACAATTTTTTCATAAAAAATCGCTGGCTATCAGTTAGGAAACTACCAGAGATGTTCGGAACGGAACTCCGACCGGAATATTTCTGAATCTTTTTTTCAGAATCAAATTCCGATCGGGATTTTACCGGAGTTTTTTTTGGAATTAGAGATTTTTGGACTACGGTTTGTCGAGAAAAATTGCTTGCGGACTGAATACTTTGAATTTTTTGCGTTTTCAGAATTTTTTGCCAAATTTTGGAAATTTTCAAAAACGGAATATTCCGAAAATCCGTAATTTAGAATATTTGAAAATCGGATAATTCCTAGATTCCGAAAATCGGAAATTTTCAAATTCAGAATTTTCGACCTTTCGAAAAGGCCATTCCGAACATCCCTGGAACTACACTGAAGGATTTATTTGGAAAAATTCAAATAATTTTACAACAAGAATAAAATACTCAGATTCGCACTCACTCACAACACGAACAACAACCAAATAAAAAGATATGAACAAAAAAGACATTTAGAAGAATAAGAAGAGGAATGCTCTTCTTCCCAATCTTCTCGTTCTTTCCTGACTCCTGAGTCAAAAAGGAAGTTTAGACGTACTTAGAAACTCCGAGAAGGAAACCTAAAGACCAAAAACGGAGGAGGGGTTGCGAAATGGAGAAGAAGAAGAAAAAGAAGACGAAAAAGAAGAAGTTTTCAAGAATGTTCTTTTCACAAACGAGAGACGCAGAAAAGGGAGCCGAGAATCGATGGGACGAAGGCTCCAAAACGACGCACAGCTACTTATTGATTCAACGAGAAGGAGCTCGCCTGCGTCGGGGGCACTTTGAATGCCCCTCTTCTTCTTCGGAAAGGTGGTGTTCAAACTTGGATCTCTTTTTCCTGCTCGCCGAACACTTATGCAAATTTTCGTGTTTTGATAAGAGCTGCCTGCCTCTCCTTGTTTGGAGCACTTTATCTACCGGGACATTGCGATAAGACAAGTAATTTTGAAGTGGAACGGGAAGTGATCGAAGGAATTGCATTTCGCTCTCTAGATCTCAGAGTTCTCATAACGAGGATAAACTTTTTAAATTTGTGAATACATGAAAACCTTGTGTGTTTACAGTTCAAGATTTGAAACTTTATTCAACATTTATATCGTGCAATATGGGAAACTTACTTATCATTATTTACATTGGGACAAAATTGACCCGAATCTAGTTAAATGGAAATCAACGAACAGCGATAGTCGTGTTAGATGCTTCTGGGTAAATCATCGAGTTCTGCCAGGAGAAGATTTCAACATCTTTCTTGCGAAGTTCGCGATAATGTTGAGCACACTTAGATACACTTTCCTTGAATCCAAGCTGTGGCTTGTACCCGAGCATCAGGAGGCTTTTCGTCGAGTTGAAGAATGTCCAGTGGTGGAAGTAGAAGTACAGGAATGAAGGATTCGGGAGCATAGTGGCGAATCGGAGTGGACCAATCAGTTTGATTGCGAACTGAATGATCATGGAAATCAGCAGATAGATGTAGTACAACGGGATGAACGAGAGCTGTGTCGCAGAACGGAGACGCTTGCTGTTCTGAAATACAAATATGTTTCTTGTATGAATTACTATTACCTCACATATAGAAGCTGCTCGAATGTATTGTAAATTGTCTTCTTTGGAGTATCATCGTTGATCAGAAAGATCTGAAATATTAGAGCTGAAAAGCTATGTAGAATTCTTGGAATACCTCAAAAATACGCTGATTCTGAACAGTGGAAGTTGAATCTTTGATAATGGAGAAATAAGTGGTTTCCGCATTTTCCTGCACAGCTGCTCCATCGTTTTCTTGAAGAACTTTATCATCACCAAACACATCTCCCTCTTCAGTTTCCTCACATCCTTTTTTCCAGTCACAATCGCCATCAAAACTCGTGCGAACGGTATTATGACGAGCACGATACCCTTCCAGATTTTCGTCCTCCTCTTTGATGGCGTAAAGCCCTGGCTTGATACCATCAGTCAATTTCTCGTTTTCCTGCTGATAACGGAAAGAGTTCTCGGCTGAAGAAAGGATATCATTGAGCTCCTCTTCGTATGATACGTTCAGATCCGTGCAAGTCGATTGAGAAAGAAGTCTACAAACTGCAGACCATAATGCAACGGAAACGTTTCCAGCGTACGCCATCTGCATATGTCCGTCATTATCCCCAAGAGGAACAACAGTCCCATCATTGGAAAGATAGATCAAATCGGTGAGAATCGAGCAGTTGTCACCTTCACCGTAAGTCGGAACACTTCTCCTGAAGAGAATTTGGTTTTTGTTGTTTGCAACTGTTAACTCACACAATGTAACAGTCATTTGATGCAGATTTTACGAGTTGCTCAGCTTCATACTTGCTCGCACAATATTCCGGAAATGGCCATTGTGGTCTGAAGACTACCGGATCCCGTTCAGGCTCATAGACATTTGGCCAACGATGGGAACATTGCAAAAATGGCGTCGAGAGATGGATCAGAGGAAAATTGCAATGGAAAAGAAGCGAACGAACGACTTCAACATTATGGAGTTGAAGTTTGCCAACATCGGGAAGCATGGAGAAGTCTGTGCATTCGTGGAGATTGACCACCTAAAACAAGTTCTTCTGCTGTTTGTAGAAAACTGGTAGTGAATATACCGCATCCGCGCAGAGAAGGGCGTTAGGTAACATTTTGATCCCGTGATAACGAAGACAGGTAGCGATATTATCGAACTCTGAACCGTTATATTCATAGAGGAAATAAAATAAAATGATATTTACCGGGATACTGAGCCTCATCGTATGTCCAAAGTGAAATCTGAACTGATGGATGTTCGCTAGAAAGATACTTCACAAAGTGCCGAGCGGTAAGGTTGCTTCCAAGAACGGTAAGCCGCATATTGAGACTCTGAAAAAAGAGAACGCATTACGGGTTGAAATCCTTTTTTTTGAAAACGACAAGAATAGCTTTGGAAATCTGACGAGAACGGTTGTCTCTCTCTCTACTTTTCTGCAAAAAGAAGCTTCGCACGGGACAGCAATGAACAGAAACAGCGGTTTTGTCCGCATGAAAATGTTTCGTCGAGTGTGAAGCGCGGGCTTTGTCGAGAGCGGGCATTGTTGCTGGTTACGGTATTGAAGGCGCATGTAAATTTTAGAAAATAATTCAGCTCACATTACGTTTTCGTTTCGAGACCGGTGCATGCTTCGTTGGACATCAGGGATGTTCGGAATTTTTAACAATCAAAATTTTAAAGTAGAAATCCCACTTTCATCACAAAAGCGCAAAAAGTTGGTGAAGAGTTGACAAACTGATTTTAAAAAAGTAATTCGTCTCGGAGCCCCCAAGCTATATCTTTGCGTGCGCCTTTGTCATTCGGTAGTCCAAAAATCTCTGATTTCGAAAAAAAAATCGGGAATATTCCGAAAATGGTTGGAATTTTCGGAATTCCGTTCCGATCATTTTTGGCTGAATTTTTATCTTTCAACTTTTCACTTTTTCGCACGTTCTGGCTATATAATTCATATTCCATCATTCCATTATATTATTGGCGACTTGAAAAAAGATTTTTCAAATCACATGTCTTCTTTTCTTTTGAATATGGCAGTATTTCTGTCTGCATATACTATTTATCACCGTTTCTCTTCTCCTCTCTATTTCTTCTTTTTTCGAAAGCGCGCCGTTTTCTCGCGCAAAAGGCCGTGGCCGAATGAGACCGTGGCCTGGTTTCCGCGCTCGCTCGACCGAAAACCACTCTTTCGTCGATAAATGGAAAATGTATTTTCGAGGTGACCAAGCTGAAAATCAATGTTCTTTGCCTTTTCCTTCTTCGTTTTTGCTTTACATAGTGAAATCATATCGATTTATCTTACTGACCTCCCCTCCTTTCATTTTAATCGTCTCTGTAAATAAATTTCTAACAGGTAATGGCGGCCGGAGCAATTCTTAAGACGACTGCTACCTTAACGGTAATCACAACCCTGATTATTGTCGGAACAGGTAAATCTTTTTTTTTAATTTTTGGATAATTTCTATTTTTAATTATTGATTGTGACAACTGTGATATCTGAAACTTTGCAGGGTTGTTCTATATGCTCAGTGGTCAAGGACACAGATTCGATATTGCATGGTTCTTGACATCTACTTCACCTCATATGTGGGCTGGTCTCGGTATCGGATTCTCGCTCTCTTTATCCGTCCTCGGAGCCGGATGGTAATGCCTTCTTAATTCTAGTACGTTTTTCATTATTCTCTTCATAGGGGAATCTTCACAACTGGATCATCTATTCTCGGAGGAGGAGTAAAGGCCCCAAGAATCAGAACGAAGAATCTGGTCTCCATCATTTTCTGTGAAGCCGTCGCTATTTTCGGTATCATCATGGCTTTCGTCTTCGTCGGAAAGCTTGCTGTGAGTTTGAAAAATTTTCCTCTGTATTCTTGTAATTTTTTCTGAAAAAAATCAAATTAGAAACGCTGTTCTCTCTGAATCGCCAATAAATTCGCAAAGCAACTAAAAGTTCGTGATTACAGGAGTTCCGTCGTGAAGATCTTACCAACGATGCTGATGGAGCGACCATCCTTGCCCGCAATCTTGCTGCTGGTTACATGATTTTCGGAGGAGGACTTACCGTGGGACTGTCCAATCTTGTTTGCGGTCTTGCTGTCGGAATCGTCGGTTCTGGAGCCGCTATTGCTGATGCTGCCAACCCCGCACTTTTCGTCAAAATTCTTATTATCGAAATTTTCGCCTCCGCCATTGGCCTCTTCGGAATGATCATCGGAATTGTTCAAACCAACAAGGCGTCGTTCGGAAACAAGTAAATCAGCATCCTTCAATCAGTTCTCTGTTCCATCCAAAAATTAGTGACATTCTCAATCTAGTTGTTTAGAGCACAATATTTTTCCATCGCTCTTCTATAAAAACGAATGTAAATTTTCTGTCAATCTTTCTCTCACACACTATTTGTCGGTGATTTCATAACACATTCCCCTTTTTTTCTTGTAAAATTGATTGAATTTTCTCAATACATTTTGTTTTGATTGTGTTTTCTCAATGTTTGTCTCTCATGACAAAATTTTATTTTATTTCCCTTTGCTGCTCCCTTTCTTCTCCATTTTTTCCCATGCAAAACCTTTTTCTGTTAATAAACCAAACAGTCTTTGGCTGATGCCTAGTGAAAGCAAGATCTTCGTAGTGGCGAACCTTAACTATCACGAATAAAAAAAGAGTTACACTGCACAATCTAATCGCAGATGCCGTCGGAGTATATCTAAAGTATCCAATAAAGTAAGACCAATAACTAGAAATATAATTCCTTGGGGTTCAGTATTGTCGGAATAAAAAAAGTGAGACTCGGTGTTTGCGTACTTTGATTCCCGCCTCCCCCCACCGACGCTCCGCCCATCGCTTTGCAAGCTTACTTTACACTATTCTGTGCCTTGGCTCTACGCCCTCGTCCTGACCTCGACTCGACAGATGTTCGTCGTCGGTTACGACAATATCTGGACAGTTTCAGCCACTGGGATCCCGTGTCGCATACCAGTTCCTTCGGATCCTAGTAATCTTGAAATTGGAAAATTTAGAGTAAACTTTTCGTTCAGGATGTACAAGTGATGTCGATTGGCAAGAAATTCCATCTTCAGACGGCTCGCCAATCTGTACCATCGTGGCATCTTCTGCTGCAGCATTTGCGATCGATCGGTCTGGAAAGCTGCTCATTTTAGTGATGCCAACTCATGTTGCAATCAGAAAAAACATCGAGATATACAATAATCAGAGATGGATTGGTATTTGGAGGGGAACATTCTTCATTGATCGACCACAATATTCTGATCAAACTGGAATAATTGCTAAAGATTTAAACTTGAATGAAGTTGATCCTGGATGGAGTTGGGAAGATAAATGGTCTCCATACCTAGATCCTCGAAAATTTGACAAAGAAGGGTGGCAGTATTCTTTGTCGTTTTTAGCACCAAAATGGGACAAACAATGCCGAATGTATCATTTGGTTAGGCGAAGAGTACTGAAGAGACATATGAGATACACCTCTCACGATAAATGGATAGAAATGTCGAACGACGAATCTAGGATGTTCACAGAATTGGCGATTGGAGGAACTGATGTGATGGGAGAAGGAGAAACACTTCTTTTTGCTCTTGGAAGTGATGGAGATATTTATAGAAGAGTAGGCATCGAATCTAGCTGTCCAGGGGGACGTGGTTGGGAGATCATCCCGAGAATCGTTTACAAAAATTCCGAATCCGACGACGTCACGTTGATATCCGCATCCGCTTCTCTTGCAACGCTCGTAGCTATCACGTGGGACGGAAAGATGTATCATCGCAAAGGCATCACTCGTAAAAATCCAATAGGATTATCATGGCAAAGTTTACCGACACCGAAGAACAAAGCTGTTATTTGTGCAGCCATTGGAACGAAAACCATGTGGTGTATCACTGCTGATGGATGTGTAAGAACATTGGTACCATGATTTCCACTGAATAAATAAACTTTAGGTATGGTTCACACGACTAGAAATCGATGAGAAACTTAAAGAACACACTATGAAAAACGTCACTTCTGAGGGATATCAATTGGTGACACAAGGTGGAGTTTCTAGAATTTCAGTTTCGAAATATGATCAGGTTTTTGTTCAAAATTAAATTTAAATTTTAACATTATCTCCAGGTGTTTTGTATTTCGACTCGTGAGAAAATCGAAATCAGAACAGGAATCGATGCCCACGAACCATCTGGAAAACGGTTTGAAAAAATTGTTGATCGGGGAGAGCCGAGAGATCAAAGATGGATTGCAGTAAGATTGAAATTACTTGAATTAAAATAGCAAGAACTGTTTTTAGATTCATTGTGGATCCACATCCTTCTCTCAAATCCCAGAATACATCACATCATCGTCAAGTCTTCAATCGAAAATGGAACTTCTTCAGTTTAGAAAAGCGGATTGGCGATTAAAGGTATCTCAGCTGAATCTAAAAATTCTCAACAAAATTTGTTTCAGATATTAGAGCAGTTAGAAGAGACCACGTGCCGATCTTGGTCTGCTATGAATAACGCATCAGAAATTGTTCTCAATTCTCCAGAAGAAAATGAAACTCTGAATGGTAACAAAAGTCCAGTCAAACATATTCGATGTCAGATTAAGCGAGGAGATGCTTTTCGGTAATTAAACCACAAAGAATTCCTTCTAAATATGTAAATTTTTAGAAGTGTTAATGTACTTCTAACTGGTAAAACTGTCGAAATATCCGGAGAAAAATTGGATCCAAGGTCTATGGAATACTCAAAAATCAAATACGTTCAACCTTGTTTTCAACGTCTTCCTCAAAAATATCTTCTCTACGTCTTCACGGGATCTCAATCTGTATTTGAATGTTTTGCATTCACAGATGAGAAAGCACGACGCACTTTTCAAGCGAACGTGGAAAATGTATGTCATCAGGATAAGAAGAATCACTTTAACTGTTTTTCAGATCATTCGGGAATCGATTTGGTCTTCAACTCGAAGTTCTTTTGGAGAGAGCATGTGGTCTGTTAGTACTGAAGGCGATGTTCGTTGGCATTGTTTAGAGGAGTTAAGCCAAGAAAGCAAGTTTGAGGTAGTTGAAAATCCCAAAACTGTATCGAACAATACCTTGATTTGAGAAAAGAGTCAATCTTGGAGAAAGCCGGGGTCTTGTAGTTGGCGATGGAGTCTTAGATAAAATTGATTGTGGAGGTAATGGAAGTGTATGGGCAGTCACTGAGGTACCGTCTCTTTCAGCTTTCTAACACTTTCTATGAAAGTCTTTCTTATTATTTTACAGTCTGGATCATTATATGCACTGAGCAGTCGCTACCAACCACTCAATGCTCATGATACTGTACACGACTATAGGATGACTGATGAACGTACTTTGAAAATGTTTGAGTATCAGAAACATGCGGTATTTCGAGGATTCATTTCTTTTCAAGGATCACATAAAGGAATATCTGCTTGGATGTGTGACGGAAGACCATGTCCTCCATCGTTCTCTTCGTTACCTTCTCCAAATTGGAGTTGGGTAGATCCGACTTGGCATCTAGAAGAAGAGGGAGAATGGGAATATTCGAAGGAAATAGATGGCGTTTATGAATACTGCGAAAATAGAAATGGAAAAGTTCGAAGACGTCTGTGGACCAGGAAGGCTCGCTTCGACTCAAACAAATCACCCTGGTGTCATGTAGATGCGCCTCCTATTAAATTGGTTCGGTTAGCTAAAAAGTCTTCGTCTGAGGCATGCCAAGACATCGGATCCTGAAATATTATTTTATTTTGTTACAGGGAACAATAAATGTTGTTGCTCTCACTAAAGATGGCCACATTCTGAAAAGAAACGGAGTAACTAGAGAGAATTTCACTGGTACTAGCTGGACAGAGGTATACGAGTTCATCATCTACTTTATCAAATTTCTAGTTCAGATACTCGTAGATTCCTCGATCTCATGTATTCATTTACAAACGGATAAACTATGGTGTGCCACATCAGATGGAATGATCTCTTCTAGAATAATCAATAGTTCTGATAGTGCTAGCTTTTTATCAAGCTCTGACTGGAGACATCTCGATATGGATCTATCTGCAATTTCTCAGTACTTCTCTCCTAAATCTTCAACTGATATGGAAATTACGGGAGTTTCGGACATTCTCTACATGCGGGTTGGATTCATCTTGTTTAGAATTGACACAAATGAAGGTTAGAATTTTTAAAAATCGGAAATTCTAAATATCGGTTTTCCAGGAACAATTTCTGATGCCTATCCAATGGACAATCTTCAGCAAGTTATGGTCAACGCTCACGGTATGACATCGAGAGTAAATCTCGACGTACAGAAAAGCCGTCGTGACGGATTATAGAAATTTTCCATATCTTCAGGTTCGATCTGTGTCCGAGGTACGAATATTACGGTTGTTCGAGAATGGCGCGTCGTTCCGTATACAGATCGGAAGGCCACAATTATCGCGATGCGGAATGTGGATCGTGCCAGTAATATGGGTCGTGGTCTAAAAAACATTGCATTCTATTGAAAAGATATCGTAAATAACGTATTTTTTATTGCATCAATTTTTGTGTTTCTATGCCAGAAATTTTGATAGATCGGTGATAATAAATTGGGTACTCTTTCATAACTTTTGTGAAGAAAAGTTCATAAAATTTGGTCTTCTTCGGCTGAAATAGTTGCAAACGATGCTCCGAAATGCCGGCTTCTTGGGTTCCCGTGTACTCCTCGTGGACAACGGGGCTAGTCTTCTCGTTTTTTTATATTTTTTGTTTCACGACCTGATTATGCCTTATTTTCAGTTTTCAGTTTATAAATCTAATCAAACAGTGCGGTTATTTGAAAAATATATTTCAAAATCAGATTGAAGTTTTTTTTCTATAGAGTTTTCTGACTCATTAATTATTAGCAAAGTACATAATCAATGTTTCCAAATATTGCTGTTTCACAACCACTCTAACCTTTTTTATTCATTTGCGAAATTTTGTGTAGAATCGAAGAAATTGGTTAGTGTCAGGTAGATGCCATGGCAGGAGGTCGTCCTGCAGCAGGTTGCTGCTGTTTCACCAACAACGTCAGGCTCCCGATTTTAATCCTAACCACATTCTGCGTCGCCGCTCTGTACTCAACACTGTTAGTTTTCAATCTTGTAGCTATATTGGACCCAGAAATCGAACTGAGGCCCGCTCCAGGTCTGGATTCCTTACACGGAAGCTCTTATAAAGGTTGGTTTCCCGTATCCCTTTATATAATAGTTTATCTCATAATTTCAGGATACGATCGTTTAAAACGAGATTTGGCGGATAGAAGAGTTCCTTCAAAAGTTGTAAGATTTGATCAATCAACTGAAGATGAAGACGAAGGTCATCCTATCCTTCCACCTACCGAAAAACCGGCTCCCGTAACTACAACACAAGCTCCAACAACCAAGAAAACGGAGAAACCAGTACCAATCTTCATTACGAATAGTCCAGAAACGACGACGACCAAAGTGGAAAGAGCAACAACGACACGAATTGAAACGACTACAGACGATGTCGTCGCTGGAGGTATTTCCCATTCCTCATTTGATTCCCATTCTTCATAGTTGAATTTTTTAGAAGTCCAAAGGTCATTGAAAAAGTTACGAGATGCCGAAGAAGGCAAACTGGAAAGCCCACCAGAAAAAGTTCAACAGGAATTTTTTGAAAAAAAGTAACGATTATCCAAAAGAACAGTTGATTTTCAAAAGTTATTTTCAGAGCAGAGCCGCTTTCCATACGTCTGAGAAGAGGATTGTTGTATGCTTCGCCTGGAATTGGAATCATATTAGGAAGCTTTTTGACTATAAACTTAACTAAAAAGTATGGTGTCCGGAAAGTTTTCACAACTTGCATGTGCCAAGCTTCCATGTCGATTCTTGTTTTCCTGTATTTCCAAAAACGATGTGAGTTGCCTTTGCCTCACTCTGTTGAAGTCAATTTTGTTTTTATTTCAGCATATTTCGTACTAACTGTCATTCGGTTTTTCCAAGGAGTCCTGTTCTCAGCCGTTTTTCCCACCATGGGCAGCTTGTTGATTCAATGGGGACCACTGAATGAACAGCTTCTGTTCCTCACGGTCATGCTCATGTTTCTTTCGGTAAGGAACTCAATTGTAAAGTTTTGCACAATCTTTAGTTTTGTGATTTAGATTGGACCTGTCGTGGCATTTCCCATTATAAACTACTTGAATGCATTGGAGGTAGCACACGAACATGCTCATTACATTCAATGTGCCGTTCTAGCTTTTCTGACTATTGTGTGAGTTAAAAAGTACAGAACCAGGAAACCAAGAATAAGAAATTTTAGTTGGGCTATTTTTTACCGCGATCGTCCACAAGAACATCCATGGGTCAGTGGTGTTGAACTAAATCGGATTGTCGCTGGAAAAGTGAAGGTAATCAGTATATTTATTAGATCGAAAAAAGAAAAGAATAGTTCAGGAACTTCATTCAAATCGTGCTTTATCTGATGCCTATACATCACTTTTGAAATCACTATCCGCATGGAGCATCTGGGCAGCAGCCTTCGGTCTTTTCTCAACAACCGCATTCGTTGCAACATATCTTCCGTCTTTTCTGGCCTCACCTGATATCTTCATTGTGGAAGGTCTTGGAATGCATAGCTGTCTACCGTTTATGCTACTCGTAATGCTAAAAATATATTCAAAAATTAATCAAGAGTATTTCTTTCAGCCGATCGCTTGTGCCATATTCGCATCATTGAATCTTCTCTTCCAGCCATCCACCAAAATGATTCGAATCTTGAACACTTTGGCTTTTGCAATCGCCGCAGTTCTGATAGTAGCCATAATTCTAGTTGGTCACCTTCAAACCAAAGCAGGGTTTGTTTTTAGAGAGATTTCTTACAAGTACAACTAGTACAACTAAATATTCCAGACTTTTGTCCTTGCTCCTCATTTCGATGCTACCGTTTGCATTAGCCATCGTCACTGGATTTGGCCGAAGTTTGACTGTTGTAGGAAGAGTTTTTGCGGAACAGATCTTCGCGATGTGTGCGATCCCATTCGGACTGGCATTCACCATTATTCCAATGGTTGTCACATATTCAATAACGGAAAAGTAAGTTCATATGTTTAGTAATCATTTTTTTATTTGCATTTTTCTAGTAAATTGGCTGAATGGATGAAAGTGGCCATGTTCCTATTTTTCGTTTTATCTGCAGTCGCCATCGAATTTGCTGTTTTCGGGAGAGGTTTGGATACCGTTTTGAAAATGACAACCAGAGCTCTAAATTTCAGGAAAATCCGCATCATGGGCAGCATCGTCTTGGGATCCGCTTGCTGCTTCAACAAAAATGCAATCTTTAGCTCTTATCGATTTCAATCAAGATGAATGCGGACTTTATGAACTTCGTAGAATCGAACCAAAAAAATAAAATATTTAGATCATTGAATAACCAAAAGTTCGTAATTGATCTTGCTTTCGAAGCTTACATTTTGCTCAATACTTTGCCAAAGGGACCAATATGTTTTTCTCTTCAACCTATTTATTGGTTCTCTCATATTTTTTTCTTTATCATTTCCCGAGGAGAATAGAGAAATTGTACTTTCCAGTGTTGCTTGTCACTTTCTGTATCATATTTTTCTGCCTTTGTTGTGATTTGCGATGTTTTTTGCGATGTATTTCAAAGTAAATGCTGTTCATCCTTTTTCTTCTTTGAACAAACACAACCGGTAGGATTGCGGAAACTACGGTGGAAGGCAAAGTGTGCATCACGTACCGCTTCGCCACATTCTACGACAATTCACTTTTTTGCGGAGCGGACTTGACAACTGTTGCAGAGAGCTCGCCGAGCCATCGACTTGTCGTGTGCCATTTGAGCCAGCCGATTGCTCGTCGACGATTCTCAGTTTTATTAAAAACAATATGAAAAAATAAAAAATTGGAGAAATTGAAGCAAATTTAGGCCAGGAATTTTTGAAGCGTATTTCAGAGCACACTGATTACTCGAACTTTAAGTCTGATAATAATCTATGTAAGCACCTGACTAATGTTCCAATTCACCTTAGAGGAAAAGATAATAGAAAAAAACCAAAACCAAAGATCATCTGTGTTTCTTCGCCTTTATTCATCACAAAAGTGGAAAACAAGCATAATAAAAATTGTCTGAAATAGATTCGAGTATTAACTACTTTTTGTGAGAATACCCATATTTCCCTCTTCGATTTAGACAAATTTCCTATGTGTGCTAATCCAATGATTGACTAATCAAGCCCATCTTGTTTCAAGTTCTATTTTTTCCCTCTCTGATTGAAAATGCTATTTTTGTGACTCTCGGAATAACTGTAACTTTTAGGTAATTCACATGCTGCGCTACCAGGCGTCCGTGTACAGCGATTCATACGGAAATGATTTTCATTCACCCGTACAGGTACGGTTTTTTTGAATTTCGGGACGGTACTCATTCACTGAAAACCAAAAAAAAATCTGAAATTCGGATCTCTCGAGCTGTTAGATGTATTATCAAATGATTAATTTGTCTAGCACCCCAAAAGTCGAAAAAAAGAAAGAGATTTTCTGATTTTTGTTTGTTTCCAGGGACCATCATCAATCGCATCGTCCATCGGATTCCGGTCGCAGCAGGGAAAGGTTATCAAAAGATTACCGACTACATACAAAGTATATTTTGACTGTTGCAATTTAAAGAGAAACCCCGACTTACAGAGTATTCCATCATGTCGGTTACTCCTCGTCGTCGTCTTCTAGTCTCTGATGGTGTACAGAAGTCAATGACAAGTAGTTCGGGAGTCACATTTCCACCACCAGATTATATAAAAAAGATGAAGGAAAATTACGAAAGTGGGAAAATCGTAAGGACTTGTTTTTTGAAAAGATTTTTGAAAATAAGAAATTTCAGATCTATATTCGTAGAAACGGCGGGCTGAAAACAAGTGGAATATCAGGAAGACTTACTACGATAAACACTTCTATACGAACGCCTTCGTGAGCTCAAAAACGGTAAATTCAGTTCAGAAATGAGTTTTTACAGGTATCATGCAACATCAATGTCAGCAGGAAGTGTAACTCTGGACACTAGTGGAAGCGCTCCAAAATATGTGTATCGCTTGCCGAAACAGGATTTTGGAAAATTTGATGAGTAAGACTTGTGTTACTTAACGTACTTCATCTATTGACTGATTTACAGAAATCGACCGAACGGGAATATGTATGTGCCAGCTCAAGAAGCACCAAAACAACATTTCACAACCGTTCCTGCGTGTATGTCAATGGGAGGAGAGGTTATGATTGAAGAAGAAGTAGATGATGAAGTTGCTGATCTAGGCGCAGATGAACTGACTGGCGATGGATTCAATGCCGACAAATCTCCAAAATCAGAATCTCCAGACCCGTATCTGAAGTCTTCCGGCCCACTGATACAGCCGTGTTCTTCAATGAAACCACCGAACTACAACATGCTCCAAAGGAATCGGTTACCTGGAAATAGGTTCGCATGAGTTTTATAGCTTTGATTCTAGACAGTTAATGATTCTATTCCAGGTGTCCTCATCAAGATTGTTACTGGCGAGGTACAAACGAGATGTCAATGAAGAAACATATGTCAATACATGGTCAAAAACAATCATCGATGTATGAAAAATCTGGCGAAACCATGAAAGTTCAGCTCGTACAGCCGAAACCAAAAGGAGTGAAATGTAGTGAATGTGACACGTTCGCTTACTCTCGTCCTCTTCTTCTCCGTCATATGTACGATTCACACGGCATCGAAGCTCCTCTAGTCAAGAGAACTTTCGCTAATAGAGAAATGCTCCAGTCCTGGTTGGACTCTCTTCGCGAAACTCATGCTGTCGAGTTCGTTGTCTCATCGGGATCGAAGAAATGGGGACGTGGTCTTCAGGTTCACTATTTGACATGCTCCAGAAGTGGTGATCAGAAAGAACGTCCGAACAAGAAATACGTTCGACCGCCACGACCATCAATAAAATGCGGACGAAACTGCATGGCTTACTTGAAGATCAAACAAAATCCGACAGTGTCAGAACTTCAAATCGAAGGATGTCTTCATCACAGTGGACACGAAATCGATCACACAAGAATGGTTTTAGAGCCAAATGAGTTGGCATCAATTGGACTTCTTGTGGACGCTGTCAATGAAGGAATCGATGTATTAGGAAATATTGAAACGCTTCGCAGTAAGTCAAATTATCTCCCAATAAGATTCTCAAAAAATATATTACTAGGCTATATCGGCTCTGCTGGACGATTCCGTCTTGTCACCGACAGTGGACTGATAGAGCAAATGCCTATTTGGTTTGAGCAATATCATCGGGATGTAGCTATGTATAACGGGATTAGTTCCCGGGATCACGGATCATCGATTGCCAATTCATACTGTAATCCAGTTGAAATTAAACGTTTTGTACCAAATTATTTTTTAGTGTCACCAATGAAACCTCCAGTTAACGGAATTCGAAGGGTGCCATACACTGGAATGAACATCAAGGTAACCCCGAATTCAATTATTATGTTGTTCTGAATTCTACGAAGTTTTCAGAAAGAATTAGATGCAATCGCATTGAAGACGGCTGTGCCGATTCGCTTTAACGGCGGACAACTTCAGGATATCGATTTGAATGTAGGCAATGAAGAATACGACGAGAGCGTTAGTTCCGGTTTCGGATCTTCTACAAAAGTAAAGTTGTATTGTTTCAGAAGGTCAAAATTGAAATGGACGATGAAGATGCTCTTGCGACCCAAAGTATTCTGAAAGATGAATTTGAAGAGTTCAAGCCAGAAGACCTTTTTGATCTTCATAGGACGGATGATGAGATACTGTGTGGGGGAGAAGAAGCTTCTGGAATCACCTCGAATATTGATGGCATTCTGGCTGCCAACCTGCCTGAAAACTTTAGCGATCCGCTGTGCGGGATGGATTTGAACGCCGACTTTGGTGGTTCATTTGATGATAACGTCTTTGATGAGGTACCCTTTTGAAATTTCGTTCTTATCAACTGTCAATTATTTCATTTCAGTTCCTCGGACTCTCCAACTTCAACGACGTCAACAGCAGATTTTAATAGATTTGAATTAGCTTTTTTATAGCTTGATACCTCCCTGGCTCAGTCTAGGTATAGCACCCCTGTTATGAAACTGATGTTAAATTTTTTATCATTTATAATTTTTCTTTGTTTTCCCTTTTTAGATAGATTAGTTCTTAGTTAGTTAGTTTTTCTTTATTTCAGCTGCCATGTTTTTAGGTTGTGTGTTTTGCCACAATTTTATAGACCCGATTAAGAACCCCCGAGTGTGAATAGACATCGGTAGATCAGCAATCTTTCGTACATTATCAGTTTCATTACGTTTTTTTGTTCCTTAGTGCACTCTGTCATAGGCTAGGAATTGGTTGGTTTCTATTCTTTCCTCATTCTTACATTGGTACCATAAGTACTTGCTCATTTCAATGTAACATACTCGGTTTAGAATCACCCAGAATCCTTCTTTTTTGATATTACTCTTGTCCAAAATCAATGCACGTTGCGGCCGAGAAAACTACGGTGGGCGGAGCTTAGCTCCCACAGAGAGAACACTAGGGTTTTTCAAATTATTACACGCGCCTTTAAACAGTACCTCAACATTTATTGAATTTTTGCCTTTTTCTCTTATTTTTTCGTTTTTTTCTGTCTAATTTTGTCTAATTCTTATAAATCTTCAATTTATTTCCCTTAGAAAATAGAAAAACAGCCAAATAAGGCCCAAAATAAAAAATCGTCCGAGGTACGGTTTTAAAGGCGCACGCATCAATTTCTTGTTTTCGCTGTTCGACCGACGATGCGATTTTGAGTAAATTTTCGGCCGCAACGTGCATTGAATATAGACAACAGTAATAAGTGTAGATTCAAATACTTTCCACCTGAAAATATTCTTGTAGACTTCGAATCTTTACCATACTCTTCTGAACATTTTTTTGAATAGCAAAACGCTAATAAAAAAGATCCTTATGAATCGAATGGATTTCTTGAATGAATATTATTATCACAAAACTTACATATTCTTTACAACAACCTGTCAGGGAATAGGAATAAATTAAAGAACTTTGGTGGGAGACGGGAAAGCAATTCAGATCACCTAAATGTGGGGACAACAATAAATTAAAAGCAATGCAATCAAACAAGAAAACAATTGAAGGAAAACACCAGTTGAGAAGGCAAAACTTTTAAAGGAATACTTGTTTTCTATTCTAATTCTTCTTCTTCTCAGAATCCAGAACTTTGGCTCCCTTTACTGGAGTGTCCTTGTGGTAGAGGTAGACAATCGAGAACAACACGAGACCAGCCATCATAGAGAACGAAGAAGCATAATATGGGTAGGCAGAACGGATGAAGCGTTCGTACTGCGTATGCCAAAGAGGGCGCACGGAGACCTAAAATGAGATTTTTCAATTGAATTGACGAGTTACATTGATAGAATCGTGGAATGTTTTCATACGATTCGGTAATTACCTGTAGGACGTCATAAACATGAGTGTATCCGACTCTTCTGTAGTCTACAAGGAATTTGAAGACTCCGAGAACGTCCGGAAGTTTGAAGGCGGCGGATAGACGTCCGTTGTTGTTTTTAAGCGTAGCTCTCACGAAGGGATCGACACGAACAAACTCTAGCTGCACATCTTTTCCGTGGAATGGCACCCACTTTCCATTTTTGAGCTCCTCAATCTCGATAGTGTAAACAACGTCTTCAGCGATGAAGTAGTCTTCTGCGGGTGGCATAGTCTCTCCTTTCTTATGATGGTTCACCGATTTGACACGAAGTACTCCGCTCTCCTTCATAACCCATTTAGCGATGGCACTAGCTAGTTCAGCGTTTCCAGAAGCAGCTGCGCCGACAGCAGGATTCACAGAGTTGGTTTGGGCAGAGAAGAAAGCATTAGAGAACAAGTCAGTACTTCCAGAGAAGACAATTCTAGCATTGTTACGAGATTGGAGACCTCCGACAAGAAGAGTTCGTGATCCAGCAATTGATGGATTCTGCAATAGTGACATTTATTGTCGGAATTGATAGTTTTATATTTATTATGTTTTAAAGCAGTGGAGGAAAAACTCCGGTGGCATCAAAAACGTTCATGTTGGGAGAATAATTTCGGTATTTTCCTATTTCAGGGACCTGCGGTTATCGATGTTTTTCCTACAAAATTTTTTTCGCACTGACATAATATCGCGAACAAATAAAGAAATTCTTACCACCACCCGAGTAGCTTTTGGATCAAACGAGTATGCAGTTCCTGAAGCTTTCACGATGCTCAAAGCGAGATTGTTGGTTTTTCCAGCCACCAAACCAATTCCCTTGAAAATAACTGGTCCAAGCTTTGCAGAGTTTCCAACAATCAACTCAGCGCTGATAAGTTGATCTTTGCCAACAACGACGGTGGTGTGATCTCCAGGATCGAGAGATTGATCGTAATTGTGATGATCGATCACTGAAGTTCCAGCCTCATCGAATTCGAATCCATGTTCCACCGCGAGTTCACGAAGAGCGTCGCCAATGTTGGAATCGGCGGCTACAAGCACGTTTCCTCCTTCATCGACAAATTTGGAAATCTCTGATGGGGTAAGAGAACCTCCAAAAACTTGAACTCCGGGAGCAAGAACAAAAAGATGATCGAAAATCAGCTGTCCATGTTTGAACAGAGCAAGTTGAGAGTCATCGGCGGTACGGATAGTCAATTCATGACCTCGTTCTGAAAATCATGTTGTTTGATACATTTTTTCATTTCTTTGAGTGAAGCAGAAAAATCCCTACCTTTGATGGAATTCAGAAATTGAGAGTGCGAATCCTTGATTGCCGCAGTTTCTCCTAAAACGAGAACCCGATCGGCGCAGGACTGGTCGATTATGACAGACACAAGTAACAGGACTGTAGGTAACCACCTCATTCTGAAATATAGGATTTTTTAAGACAAGAGTTAATCAACCGGACGGAAAATGAGCAGTTTCTGCCACGTCAAATTCGAACAATTTTTGAGGGTGCAAACACCACGACGTCAAATTGCACGTAATTCGCACCGTATCTTTTTGGAAGATAAGCACAAGGTGAGACTCCACAATGTTTTTTGTAAAGAAGTTCTTCTGTTCGGCTCAGTATCCAAGGGTACATCGAGTTCTTAGGGTACATTGGATCAGAGGGTACATCAGTTCTTAGGGTACATCTGGGAGGTAGGTTCAAGGGGTACATCTGGCGTTGGTTCTGAGGGTACATCGGAGAAAGGATCCCAGGGTACATCGACAAGTTCTTAGGGTACATCAATTAAAAATTTTGTAGTTTTCAACTGGAAGATATTTTGGTATAAACTGCACTATTTTGCTTGTTTTTTTGTCGATTTGTTTGAAAAAGTACAGTTTCTCATAGTTTTATTGATTGACCAGCAAGCTGGTGAGCCTTCGGCGCGATTCCATCTATTTTTTTCAAATCTTCGTTTCTCACTTTTTCTAAATAAAAGGGTCACGTAAATATATATGTATTTTTCAATTTTTTCAAAAGTCTACAGACGGACACGAGGACGGACAGACGCCTCTAGCGTTTTATTAATAAGGAAGATTTGTTTATTGGAGCTTGTATCCACAGAATGCAATAGATGTACTATTACATTTTGAGCCTGCCGAAGAAAACAAATCCTTGGATTATCGCAACATGATGATACCTTCAAAAACAGCAAGAGGGTCGACCGGCGACATTAAGAGATGATTTTGAGAGCAAACTCATGTCAACAAAAAACCAGTTTTATTAAAAATTAATGAAAACTACTACTGTCTATTACGAATTATCTGGTCCTAGTTTCTGTATCCCCATCTTTCTGGCGCTTTTACATCGCGTTTCGGCAGTTTTCGTGGAATTGTGGACTGCAATGCACATTTGGCGAGTAGTCAAAAAAATATGAAAAAAAAACTGTACTTTTTCAAACAAATCGACAAAAAAAAACAAATAAAATAGTGCAGTGTAAACCTAAATATCTCCCAGCTGACAACTACAAAATTTTTGATTGATGTACCCTAAGAACTTGTCGATGTACCCTGGGATCCTTTCTCCGATGTACCCTCAGAACCAACGCCAGATGTACCCCTTGAACCTACCTCCCAGATGTACCCTAAGAACTGATGTACCCTCTGATCCAATGTACCCTAAGAACTCGATGTACCCTCGATGTACCCTTTTCTGATGTACCCTTGGATACTTGGCCCTTCTGTTCTAGAACAGAAATGAGCGGAATAAAAATGTTTAAATGCGTATGATGGAATATGGAATAAGGAATGAAAATAAAAAATCCGGAATACGGAATAAGGAATGAAAATAAAAAATCCGGAATACGGAAGAAGGAACAGAATTTCGGAAATCCGGAATGGGAATAAGGAACAAAAAAAATACTCGGAAGAAGGAGGACGGAACAACGAATAAAAAAAGTATTTGAAAAATAAAAAAAAATTTGGTCAATTTTTCAAAAAAAAACATGTAGAAAAGGAATTTAGGCTAGATTGAACGGCATTTCAAGTGGTATTTTAGGTTAAAAAAGTTATTGAGAATCAAAAAATACTAACTTAAAAATGTTCAAAATTTCTGGAAGAATGAGAAAAAGTCAGGAATAAGGAAGAAGGAATAAAAATGTTAAATTACGGAAGAAGGAATATAGAATGAAAAAAAAAAACTAGGAAGAAAGAAGAAGGAATAAGGCTGTCCGCTCATCTCTGTTCTATTAGAATCCGAGAAGAAGAAGACTTTGGTTCGTCCGTCAGGTTCGTGCGCCAGGTTCGTCCGTTAGGTTCGACTGTCAGGTTCGTCCGTCAGGTTCAGTCCAACAGGTTCGTCCTCTAGGTTCGTCCGATAGGTTCGACTGTCAGGTTCAGTCCGTCAGGTCCGTTCATCAGGCTCAGCCGTCAGGTTCAGTCCGTCAGGTTCAGCCCGCCAGGTTCGTCCGTCAGGTTCGTACGTCAGGTTCGTCCGCCAGGTTCGTCCATCAGGATCAGTCCGTCAGGTTCGTCCGTTAGGTTCGACTGCCAGGCTCAGTCCAACAGGTTCAGTCCATCAGGTCCGTCCATCAGGTCCGTCCATCAGGCTCAGTCGTCAGGTTCAGTCCGTCAGGTTCGTCCGTCATGTTCGTCCGTTAGGTTCGACTGTCAGGTTCATCCGTCAGGTTCGTCCGCCAGGTTCGTCCATCAGGTTCAGTCCGTCAGGTTCGTCCGTCAGGTTCGTCCGTTAGGTTCGACTGCCAGGTTCAGTCCAACAGGTTCAGTCCATCAGGTCCGTCCATCAGGTCCGTCCATCAGGCTCACTCGTCAGGTTCAGTCCGTCAGGTTCGTCGTCATGTTCGTCCGTTAGGTTCGACTGCCAGGTTCAGTCCAACAGGTTCAGTCCATCAGGTCCGTCCATCAGGTCCGTCCATCAGGCTCAGTCGTCAGGTTCAGTCCGTCAGGTTCGTCCGTCATGTTCGTCCGTTAGGTTCGACTGTCAGGTTCATCCGTCAGGTTCGTCCTCTAGGTTCGTCCGATAGGTTTGACTGTCAGGTTCGTCCGTCAGGTTTGTCCGAGAGGTTCGCCTGTCAGGTTTGTTCGTGAGGTTCATCCGTGAGGTTAGTCCGTGAGGTTCGTCCGTCAGGTCCGTCCGCCAGGTTCGACGGTCGAAACTGACGGAAGAACCTGGCGGACACACACAGACGAACTTGACGAACCGGATGGACCTAACGAAAACAAGGACGAACCTGACGGACGGACAGAAAAAAGGAAGGAAAAACCGAAAAAACTGACGAAAAAACAAAAAAAAAAGCGAAAAACGGACAAAAAACTGACGAAAGCCGGGCAAAAATGAAAAAAAAAACGTGCGAAAAAATGGACGAGGAAGAACGGACGAAAAACGAACGAAAAGCGAACGAAAAGCTGAAAAAGGTGAAAAAAGCTGAAAAGGCTTAAAAAAGCTGAAAAAGGTGAAAAAAGCTGAAAAGGCTGAAAAAAGCTGAAAAAATTGACGAAAATGAAACATTTTTCCAAAATTTTTTGCAACACAGGCCGTTTAGAGCTCAGAAAATTCCCGGGATCCATACCCTAGGTTGTTCTCGGGGGCCTCTCTGAGCCACTAGGGAGTATGCATACTAACCTAGGAGCTCCCCTTCCTGTCAACCATCCTTAGGATCTCAGCCGACTCAGAAGAGATTGTGTGATGTTAACCGAAAGACCTCCAAAAAGAGATCGTTTATATAGTGGGGTCCCCCGGATGTACCGAAATCTGCCGGGTTCCGCCGTCCACTATGTTTTGTGTGCAATAGGGGCGGGGCTTAGGGACAACGACACTCCGCAGTTTCTTCTTCCATTTTATCAGTTTTCGAGCGTTTTTCACCAAATTTCTTCATAATTTGGAAGTTTCGAGCATATGAAAGAATTCTACGATCTCAGTAACCTGAAATAGTTGGACAGTTGCTAGATTGGGAGAACAACAAAAACGTTGGAAAGTTTTCATTCGGTAGAAATAAAGAATTTTCAGAAAAAAAACTATGTTTCATAACAAACTACCAAATGATTACAAGAAAATTAACAACGGGAACTAGGAGAAAGCTAACAAGTATATTGTTTCCAAAGTAGGACGAATGCATTGAATCGGAATTTGTCTGTTTACTTCAACATTCTTGCGAATTTTTTTGATTTCGTTCTGGAAAACAGCAACCGATGGCGAAGTTATTATGAAAAGACTGGTGTGAAGATTCAGGAGATAGTCGTTGAGGTTCGTCGTCTCTTCTGAAGATGAAATCGGTTGACAATTTCTAGTAACGATATGAACACCATTGCGCAGAGTTGAGAGAATTTCTTGGAGAGATACCATCTGAAAACTTTTGCTTATAATTTTTTTTTCGTCTTATAAATACCTTAGATTCGTCTTTGATAGTAGTCAGAGCAATATCAACTTCGATTTCCAACAGTTCAAGGTGATAAGAATCCAACGACAAAATGATTATGCGCAACCATTCCAAAACTTTCTTTACCGGAAAGTTGTTTACGTTATCACTGGGAGGAGATACTGATTCCCGAGTAACAGTTTGCAGACCATCAGACGAGAGTTCACGACGTGGAGAGTCGTTCGCTACCGTCTCATTTATTTCCAGATCTCCACTTGCTCTAGAATCATCTCCGACAAAATTGAGAATATTATTGAAAGCGGATGGATCCGCTCTAAAAATATCTCGGTATTCTTGTCTGTCACTATTGCTCATTCTTGCTACTGGAGTCAACGGCCCTGACATGTCTTGATGCTTGGAATTCGGATCTTGTAAGTTTGAGGAAGTTGGAAGTCCCGACTCTATTCCAGTCCTCATATTTTTTTCACCCGCCAATAATGGGTTGACATGAACTCTTGCCAACTTTCGTTCCTCGGTTTCGATGATAGAATTCAACAAAGAGCTTTTTTTCATTAAATCTTTCGGATGTCTTCTAGGTTGTTCTCCATTGTAGTTCTCCGAATCATATGAAAACATCATTGGATCAGCTGCTTCCTGGATATGTCTGTCGTTCTCGAAACCCATGTCATCGACATCGTAAACATATTCTTCAGGGGAAAATCTTTTCGTCGATCTGAATTTTAAACAATAAAACAACACATAGGGCCTATATGTCATAGGCTCATTTTCACATACATTCTTTTTCTTTTTGAAGCTGGGACTTCCAAATCCTTGATAACTTCTCGCTTAATTGCATGCTTCTCTTCCATTTCGACATCCGAGTCCGAAAGATGATTCTCGATACCGCTACTTCTCGGATGTACATGATTACCCTTCAACTCGAGGGATCCATCATTTGCCATGTAATGAGTGATACGGCTTTTATTATCCACTTCTACATACGCACTTTGTCGAAGTCTGAAAGTTTCACAGTATGTTAAAACAAATTCTTCGACAGGTATTTCTAACTCAGCCAGAATACTCGAATGAAGTCTTGTGCTTGATACGAACATCATTTTGATACGTGTTGGTATATCGTACTCTGTTGAGAGGTAAATTTGTCTCTTGATGAGAGTGTACCTACAAAACTGAAAACTGGTTAAATTTACCATGTTAAAAACTTACCGTTCTTTGAAGGTTTGAACAGATTTCTCAGATTCAGTTACATCTCTGAACTCTGTTACGAATGTTGTGTCCGACACCGGTGAGCGTTGTTCTTCCGCCATCACCGCCAGAAACTTAAGAAGGCTTTTGTCGCTTCGCGTGTCGAATTGACGGACCGGGGGAATCTGGAAACCATCATATTTAGTTGATACACGATATGGTTTTGTTACCTGCTCTCGGATCAATGTTAGTGTTCCGTCTTTTTTCTGATATTTGGTGATTCGATAAACATCATCGAATTCTACCTCAGCGTCCTTTCTCAGTCTAAAAAAGGGTGTTCGTGGAGGTTTCTAGCAAATAAATTCTTACTCTATCAAGAATCCACTGTCTACTGGAGCACTCAAAACGAACAACATTCTCACTTTCGTGTCATTGTCCAAATCTTCCAACTCGTGGATTCGAAGACGAAAGTTGCGAATCCTAAACATTTATGAATTTCTAACACAAATTAGACTATTTATTGTACCTGCTGTGCAAGTTCTTTTCCGAAACATCACAATAGATCTGCTGCTTGAATTCTTTGCATATCTTTGAGATATTGAGAAGAGAAAGCGATTCGTTCGCCTTTTCCGCTATGAAGTTCATTAAAAGAACGTTGACTTTTTCTGACTTTAGCCAGTCCGGCGGGTTTTCAATTTGTGACATTCTTTAGAAACTATAAAAAAGAGGAAGAAGAAGAGGATTGTTAGTGTGAGTAAAACAAAAATTGAAAATTTGGGAAGAGATCTCATTTCGAAATGTGTGCAAGTTTCCGTAAGGTGCCAACCGTAACCCTTGACCTAAAAAAGAAGAAAGAATGAAAAACGAGAAGAAGAAGAAGAAGAAGAAGAAAAAGAAAGAGAAAAAAAAAATAAAAACCCTCCTTACTCAAAAATTCAGAACTCTTGAAAATATATTTTGAGCTTCAATGTTTTAATTTTAATTTTCTTTTTTTCGTGATTTCTTGGCGGATTTCAAATAGAAAACGAGCAGTGCTTAAACGAGAAAATTTCGAAAATTCAGAAGTTCCAACAGCGAAAAAAGATAAAAGAATGAATAAAAACGTTGCATCCAGAGAGATGAAACATTGAAAAACCTCTGAATTATTAAAATAATTATCACTCTTATTCTGTTGTTTGCCGGCTTCCAATACGAATGGAGCTCGTAACAGCGTTTCATTTTCAGATTAGGCGTTCTAAAGTGCAGTTTCTTGTTGTGTTATAATGATAATACATTCTCTCCAAATCAAAAGTTGAAATTTTTCATTAGCGACAGTATAGAAAAGCTGACGAAATTATACAAGATCAAATCATGAAGAAGTCGGTTGTCGGCACATTGTGGCGTCAAGCTGAGTGATTTGTGTTAGCGTTAGCATGACCTTCCGGCGGTATTGATTCGTATCATGGAAATAGAATGGGTTTCTCTCCAAATAAACAGTTTGAAGATCTTTCAATTTCGAGAGAAGATCGACTTCAGAGAACGATTCCACTTTGTTGTCGTTCGCCTGAATTAGAATATAATAGAAAACAAAACTATTACTTCGAAATTACCCAAAAATCGTTGAGAGCTTCAAGCTTTTCAACTCCACTGAATGTCTTGATTTCGTTGTTGGCTACGTCGAGAAGAGTGAGATTCGACTGAAAAAAAATTAGGTTATATTTTCGTTGTCTGATGAAAAAGTTACCAAATTTTCGACTCCATGGATGTCTTGAAGTCCTTGGTCACTGAGATAGAGCTCTTTCAAATCTATCAACGACTCAATATTCTCAATTTTCACAAGTCGATTTCCTGGAATGCTGAGAACGCGCAACTTTTGAAGAGTCTCCACTCCTTCAATCTGTCGGATTTTGTTTTTTCCCAAGAATAATTGCTCCAAGTTCACTAGATGAGAAATATTCTCAATCGTCTTAATTCTGAAAGGAAGAATAGCTTATCAGAAACTCCGCTGTAGATAATACGGGTTCCTACCTGTTATCTCCAAGCTCGAGAAGTTGTAACTGCGTTAATGAGTCCAAGTTTTCAATTTTTTCAATCTTATTGTTGACAAGGTATAGAATTTCCAACTTTGTCAATTTATCGAGCCCACTGATTTGACGGATTCTGAAAGTATGGGTTTGATTCGGTGTTTCAGATTGACATTCTGGAATTCACTTGCCTGTTATAACTCAAATCGAGAGAGACGAGATTTACAAGAGAATCAAGATTTGAAATCTCCGTCAACTGATTTTCATACAGATCCAGTGATGTGAGACTGGATAATGCCGCCAATGTAGGACTGCACAAAGTAAGAAGATTGTTTCTCATTCTGAGCTCCTAAAAATTTTATGATTGATATGACTGTATTCCGATTTATCCTTACTTCGATTTTCGAAAACTGAGAAAGATCTGGAATATGATCCGCGCGAGTGTGAGTTAGGTCGACATCCTGAAAATTCTAATATTTCGGTAAAATTTCTATGAACCTACTGTTGTGTCAACATCGTAAACGCTCAAATCGAATTGATTTTTGAGTACTGGCTCTTTTCCATCTTCATCTTCTTCGCGAGGAAGAACCACAACTTCTGCTGCTTGTTTCTCCGCCATTCTATGAACAAAAAACTAGATTAGCCTATTTTCTGAAGATCAGAATTGCAAGTAGTATTACGAGAGAAAACACACTCGTGAGAACGAATTCACAAGGATAGATTTTGAAAAAAATGTATTGCTTATATAAGTTAATATCTGCATTTAAACTATAGTACTACTAGGTACTTCGGAACTAGAAGTTACTCGAACATGGAAAATTACTCGTTGTACAAATACATTACAAAAAGTGAATAAAAATCAGATCATTTCCTCTCGAAAGGGTCAATCCAGACATTCTGACCACCAGCTTGCTGTTCCCGAGACGATCGAAGCAGAGCTCTTTCTTCTTTTTGAGCGTTTTTGTAATAGTCGTGATGGTATTTTGGGTAGAAGGTAACTGCTGCTACTGCACAACATGTGACTATCGCGGTTGTCACGACAGCCATTGAACCCAGCGTCGGCCTATTCATTTTCGCCCATTTCGGTAATCGATTTTTCACGGACAGCCAAAATGGCATTGGTGCTCCAGCAGGAATGCGCATTTTCCAGCTGAAAGTTGTTTCATTATTTATGCAACTCGTTATGCGGGCAGCGGCCGTCAGTGTTAACTTCTCAGCCATCACAAAGATATTTAGTTTTCAACGGAACAACACAGTTTTTATAGTTCGAAACTCGGGTTTTAGTTTTGTAAGCACGATTTGAATTTTCCTTATCATCAATTCTCGGATTTCTCAATCACTTCTTCGAGATTGATGTCAAATTGAAAAAAAATTGAGGTGCCTTCAGCGAAATTCGCGGAGCATCGTTGCGCTCGCTAAACAACGCGCGCTGCAGGATAGCGGAGCGTTGTAGTTTTTCAGCGATGCAATTTTTCAAACAGAATTCTTAAGCTTACCGAAATCTTTCTTTTCAGATAAATATTTGTCATCTTACAAGATTTTAAAATGAGCCAAGGTTAGAATTTACCATTCCTACGTACCTAATGATTATCTTTTCAGAGTCTGACGCATCTCACGACGATGCACGAGAACCGGAGAAAAAGGAAGGAAAATCTGAGGAGGTATTCGAAGTGGAGAAAATTCTAACCCATAAGCTGCTCGAGGGCCGGCTGTTCTTGAAGGTTAGTTACAATAGAGGCGTGTGGATTTACAAAAATCTCTGATTCAGACTCGCTGGGCGGGTTTGGACCGGAAGAAGACACGTGGGAGCCGGAAGAAGATCTTCAAGAGTGTGCCAATGAATGTGTCGTTGAATATTACGCTAAGGTCAATGTGAAAGATGGTGCGGAGTTGATTGCACGCCTCCAAAAGAATAAAAGTGCTAAAAATCATGCTGCCATTCAAAAAAGTAAGAAACGCGAACGACCAATAAGCAGCAGCGATGAAGATGTTTCGGACAATAGTGAGGGGAGCAACAAGAAAAAGAAGTCGAAGAAAAGCAAAAAGTATGAACTTTTTTCAAAGTTCCATTTAAAAATGCTTCCATATGTTTCAGGTCGCATAGAAAATCCAGCCCTTCTGCATCATTGGAAGCTCCTAAAGTTCAGACAAAAGCTGCTCTGAAATCTTATGAAAGTATCGCATCTGCGACTTCATCGGGCCCCAGTCTACCTAAACGAAAAGCTCTTCAATCTCGAAGAGACTTCGAAATGTCCGACTCATCGGACGACGAAGAGGACGAACCAACAATAAGCTTTCTTGATAAAATCGCAAACAAAGTAAAACCAAAAGTAAAAGTGCAGGCTCCCATTGAGCTTCCAGTGCCTCCTAAATCACCACAGCCAGAGACTCTGACTAAACCAAATATCCAGGTTCGAAGCCCATCTCTCGAACCTACTTCTTCTTCTTCTGAGCACGTTTCTTCTAAATCTGTGAGTTATCGGCACTCTATTCGAAAACAACAACGAGGTTTCAGACAAAGACATCAGATTGTTTCGAGTCGAACGGAAGGAACAAGTCTCTCACTGGCAAATGTACATCAAATGAAGACGGTACCTTGAACAGCTCTGTTTTTTTTTAAATTTCCGTGTTTGCATTTTCAGCAACAGATTGGAAAGTCGATGGCATCGTACGTCACAGTGATGATTTACATCGTCGGAAGCTTGTTCTTCTGACAAACTCTACTACTGGCGAGCGAAAAGTCCTAGATCCTAAGGGCAAGTCTTCCATCGTCTGTGTTTTTTAGCAATCGAAATTTCAGAAACATTCGATCTTGTGGGATGGTCTCTCACCAAATACCTTCTCGATCGCTGTGAATTTTGATTGAGGTCTCGAAGTGCTCGGTATCCACGTCCCAAATGTTTTTTTTTAATTTGACGCCATTTATCTGATGTTCCAGAAACATCTAGAAAGTATCTCCAAATTCAAAAATCCCGCCACTAGCGACTATTACTGTTCTCAGGGCTCGGAAAAACAAACGCCGGCGGCGCGGCGGCGGAAAAACGGCGGCAAAATTTCGGCGTTTTTAACAGCCTGTTCTTATAAAGTTATAGTTATAATCTGTATAATTATCTTGAAATCATATCTAGCCTCCTCATGTGAACCCCTATTCCTCAAAATGATTTCCTTCCCCTGTTAATTTATACTGCATTGATGCATAATTAACATTAACATTCCATTTCATGCAGCCCTTCAGCATTTTTATTCTCAACCTGTAATAAATAAATAAAGTATTGTCCAGAAATTGAAAATTTTAATCTTATTCGCGGTTATTGACCGTTAATTACTTTTCCTGAACCCCTGATTTTGCTTCGAAACCCTAGGAGTTTTAGTAATGCACAAAAGATGAGCGATAGACACATGTCGAGTATTTTCCCCGAATGCGATCAGTTGAAACAGGTATCAAGTCACTGAGCTTATTTATTGAAAAATGTTTTTGTTTTTCAGATTTACGATAAATGCTTCACCGAATTCTTTCAAAAGTTTATAACACCAAATTATAGACATCAGTATGCTGTGAATCCGTGTGAAAGGTTTCATGAAGTTTACAAGAGATGCGTCGATGAGGTAATGATAAAAATTATAATTCACAGCTTCAATAATAATAATCTTCAGAGACTTGCAAAGCAGAGGCCGTTTGAAATCGATTTGGATGAAATCCGAAAAGAATACTTGAATACAGAAGATGACAAGCTGAAAAGTCGGCAAAACAGCTCTACACCATCTGAACAAAAATGATCTTATTTTCGTTGCTCTCGTTCCCACTTGATCTGTTTCACTTTCCAAAGTCTCCTGTACGTATCCGCTAGCTTTGTAAATTATTTCCGCCCTGTTACTAGGTTGTTGTTTTCATTTGTTTGTTTTCCGGCATTGTTTAAATGACACTGAAAAAAAAGCAATATAAACTTGAAATCTATGTAATATTGTTTTATATTATTGGCTCATGCCCATTGAATTCCTGAACTACTAACCTTCCCCATCTTTCCACATTAAACCATTCCAGATGGATCCGAACAGTCCCATGTTCCAAAACACCCCTCAACAACCAATGAGTTTGCAAAGATCCGTGGACGACAGGATTGATAGAGAGGTACGGAAATTTCGCATGATTTTCCCTAATTCGGTTTCTCAGAGTGTTCAGCGGACGGCAAAGAAAGAAAAGGATGATGAGAAGAAAAAACAAGAAGATGAGAAAATCTTGCAACTCGAGAAAAAGTTGGAAGAGTTTCAGGAGAACGCAAGATTCATCGGAGACCTTGCTTCAAATTTTCAGACCAAATATCAAGACGCGCTAAACGGAAGAATATATACTCTTATCAGAGGACTTCAAGTAAGACGGATGTGTTAGCCACAAAGCGGCTTCTTTTTTTCAGGACTTGGATAGAATGAAAGGAACATTCAGTGACAAAAATGTCCCATTAGACATTTTACCATACCTCGACGATGGGAAAAATCCATTATTGTATTCCAAACATTGTATGGAGAAAACATTGGAGAAGAACAAGGCGGTAAAGAGTTTTACAATTTCTATTATATCATCTAGTCTTATTCCAGGTCAACGGAAAGATTGAAATGTACAAAAAGTTTCGTGCCCATCTCATAAAAGAGTTCAGTGAAGAAATGCCAGATTTCGTTATTGAGTACAGAAAGGAGAGAGGACAGTAGCGAAAACGGTTTTGATTCTTCTTTATGTTTTGTTATTTATTTTATTTTTGTCATAAAAGTGTACAGTTCGTCTGTTTTCAATTTTTCTGACGCTGAATATATCGGTTTCTAGCCGAAATTCTATCTTTTCATTCAACTTTTTTTCAAAAAATTACAGACTTTTTTTAGATGTCAATTGGGGCGAATGCGGTGATGAGCGTGCAGAATGGCTTCACAGCCAAAATCATCCGCTTCGTTCCCCACTTTGTGGCCCTTCGACTCAGCTGGACTCACAATGATCTGAAAGCCGAGGGCCTGGAAAAGTTTGTTGAAGAGTATCTTCCGGTTATCCGTGAAAACAATCCTCAAGTCAAATACTTTCTTCAACGATCTTACACAACTTGCGATCCATTTGTTGTCGGAGAGTGAGTTGAAATGCAATTGAGTTCTGGGTAAAAAATAGGAAAAATAGGTACAACTGGCTGCGCCATCGCAAGAAGCGTGTTAACTGGAAATCAAAGGAGCAGGTTCTATCAATGGTTGAAGAAATGTCGATTGGTGGAGACTATAGAGAAGGTTTGCAATGAAATGTTGTCTCCAAACCTGTCGCAACTTTATATAAATTTTATGTAAAGATTTTTTGAGATTTGAAAAAAATTACCAGCACTATTATTCCAGTTCTCATAACAGCTGTTCAGGTTACAAACGAGGTGTCAATCGCCGTCTCCCTCGTGGTCAAGAACTCTGGGACACTGAGACAATGGGTCATGACGTGTTCCAGGTTTCAAGCAAATGGAAAGCGGACGTTCCAGAAGAAGATGAGATCCCAATCACTGCAAAGACTCATCCCCACTTTACCTATCGAAAATATTAGATCTTGTCTTGTTCTTAGTTAGTGATTTATTGTTTTTCTGTTATAACTTCTTTTTATGATTCTTTTTATGAAGAATTCGAGTTTTGTGTTTTAAAAATTTTGCCTTGCTAAACCAGACAAGAACAAAATTTGACAGGATTTTGGTTTGAAAAGAAAAGGAACTCATAATTCAAACGGAAAGTCTGTAGTCTCCTTTCTCTTCCCATTCTTTAACCAGAAAACGAATAAATTTTATCTTTTATCGAATGCGCGGTCCGACGAATAATGGACGGGCGGCGGTGTCTCTTTGAACTTGTGCAACGCCATTTGAATTATGGTACGACTAGTATAAAAAGGGCAACGACTCTGGGAAAAGGGAATTTGTGAAGCTGTTTTTAATGAGGTCTGTTCTGGAACCCCTTGTCTTGAAGATAAATCTCCGATCCGTGTTTTTTTTCATTCTCTACAACAATTGCTCATACATTGGTCGGTTAAAAGGTCGAGTCTCTTCGAATCTTTGATGCCAGAGCTATTCTTCAATTTCGAAAAGAAAGAAAACAATTTCGCACAAGGAACAAGCGCAAATTCTATGTTGTTCGTTTTCCTTTGTTCCAAAATTTCGTTCTTCTCAAGAATTATCGTAAATGACTGGGTTCGAAAATAATTCATAACATGAAAAACTCCGATTTTGAAAGCTTCAACAAATAAACTTCCTTCTGGGACCCTTTTAGCTTATTGACAAAAGATGGGGCTAGTGATAAGATCCATGATTTTTCTTCTCTTTTTCCTTTCGATCAGTCGCCACCAACTCCAGCCTCTGGAGTCATTCTACTCGTGTTTTATGTGTCTTAGTGAGCACACAAAACGAAGAAACTTTTCCTTTTGCTCTTCTTTTTCTCTCATTCTCGTATTGCTGGAGTTTTATTAGTTTGCAGACAGGACACATTCACACCTAAATTCTAGCAATTGAAAACGAACAAAAACTTGCTAGACAGATATTTTCATGAAAAACCACGCCCACTTTAAACATTACTTTTTCAAAAAATGTGTATTCAGTTGCGCATATTTCTGGTGTCTTGTAGAAATGGAAGTTGAGAGCAGTTTCAATCGAATTAATTTTTTTACCGTAGCTCTTCCTCAAAAACTTCTTAATCCAAAACACCTTTCAACAACAAAAATAAGTCCTTTCTTTTTTTTTGTTCGCCGCCGTTATATCGCCATTTTACCCTCCGTGTCCTTCGATTTTACGAGTTTTCCAATGGAAATCCCTCCGCCGTCCAGAAGGTCGTTAAATTTACGACCGTCCCTCTCTTCTTCCCATTCCGCGCCCGCCCTCCTCCCGGACACTCGATGTTTCCACACAACACTCATTCCAAACTTTTTCTTCCATACTATTTTATTCCGGAAGAATTTTGAATCTGAGAAATGATCAAGGTCAGTTTGTGTATTCGCTCTGAGTTCGTCTACCCTGTAGATCGAGCTGTGTGTTCTGAAGTATCATACACGAGCTAGACTACTAGGTGAACGATGGAATGGAGCAATTTCTAGTTTGAAAGTTTTTAAACAGATTTTCAAAATTTTAAATTTAAAGGTGGTACCAGGGAGAATAAAAGTCGGAGAATAAAAACTGATACGCTTTAGGACTGCACGTACCGTATTTCCTCTAATAGAAGACCATCCAAACCGTCAACTTTGAGCTCAATTATCTCGATTCACGGGAAAGATATCAAAAAGTAGTCAACTGATAAATTATTTATCATAATATCACCAACATTCGATGAGTTGACATATTTTTGATATATTTTACAGGAATCGAGATAATTGAGCTCAAAGTTGACGGCTTGGGCGGGATAACTCGGGAAAAATTCTATAATGTGCAGTTCAAGTTACAATTTTCTGGGAAAAATAGTTTTGAAGCTAGCTCGTTCTTCCCAAGTTTCCAAAATAATCCCAAAAAAAGACATGCTAGCATCTAGTTTTTGAAGTTTTCAAGTTCAGCAGTCTTCATTTTCAGAGTTCTCATCCCTGGTAGCACCGGCTTAAAATTTTCAGGTAAAAAGATTTTGAGAAAATTGATTTTTCATTTTTCGAACAGAATCGGAATCACCTGGGAACTTCAAAAACTAAGGAAAAGCAATGCTAACCATTTTCTATCTTCTTGTTTCAATAAAGTGCCAAAAACGAATGCCCTGTGGTCTATCTCTCTCGAGGAGTGAATGAGCGTTATTTGCTCGCCGAGCCCACTTGACAGTTCGGTTCGACATCTTGTCTCTTCTCTAATCACCTAATCACTTATTCCTGAAAAAATGGTATCATCAATAAATATTATAATTCCTGTGTCTATATTGTACTTTTTTTCCTTCAATAACCAAGTCTCCGTAGTTGAAGGAAGTAAACGAGAAGCTCAGTTGTATAGGTAACCTATTTCTGAGAATCTTTTTAAATGAACTTAATGTTTAGAGACTTGCTAGCCAACTATAGCTATCTTGTGAGACCTGTCAGAAATCCAAAGAAAGCTTTGACGGTAACCATGAAGGTGTTTATTCAGCAAGTGTTGACAGTGGATGCCAAGCATCAGATGATTGAAGTGAACGCGTGGCTTAAATATGTTTGATTTGATATTAAGAAAATTTTCTTATTGGAATGTTCTTAGGTATGGACTGATTTTCGACTACGATGGAATCCATTGGACTACGAAAATATAACTTCTGTTCGTTTTTATGGTGAAGATCAAATTTGGCAACCTGATATTCTTCTCTACAATCGATACATTGAAGAGTTGAGGATTCCAATTCTTGATTTTTGGTAAATTTAATGTTTTCAGTGAACAAGAAAGTTTCGACATTACCTATAAAACAAATGCGTTGGTTTATAATGATGGAGTGATCAACTGGATACCTCCGGGAATTTTCAAAGTACACCACAGATAGTCAAAACTTTTATAACCTAATTTCATTTTAGCTAAGCTGTAAAATGGACATCACACTGTTTCCGTTCGACGAGCAGATTTGTTTTATGAAGTTTGGAAGTTGGACTTACCATGGATTCGCACTTGACTTAAGATTGGATGTCGTGAAAGGACAAGGTCTGCGAATCCAGGAACTCTAGCTATAGCAACCTATGAACTTTAGAACCATCAGCTGATCTTTCAACTTATATAACCAATGGCGAATGGCATTTGCTGTCTGCTCCAGCGAAAAGAGAAGAAAAATTTTATAAGTGTTGTCGAGAACCGTACCCAACTGTCAAGTAAGTAACTTTTAAAAAAATCAATCTTTTTAACATATGTACTGCAAAACCTGTTTTAGAACATTATATTTTTCCAGGTAATCCGGCGGGCCCTCTTATTACACAGGACTCCTCTTTTTTCCCGGTTCCTTTTTCCAAAATTTTTATCAAAACATGCAGTAAATTCTAGTTCAAAATTCACAGAAATCTATCAATTTCACCATAACTAAGCAAATTGTTTCCAACACATTTCAGTGAAATTGTGAAATTTCCGGAATATTTTTCACTAAAAACGTACAAAACTTTTATTTCAAAAAACACATTTTGATTAGGCTCCTCTATCAGAGGAATCTTTCTAACACAGGATTACGGTATTGTTTTCCAGATTTTATTTGCATCTCCGCCGTCGAACATTTTACTACGTTTTCAATGTGATTCTACCTACTCTCCTAGTTTCATTCATGTCACTTCTTGCTTTCTGTCTTCCTGCGACTGATTTGAGTGAAAAAATTGGACTGCGTGAGTCGATTCTTAGCACCCCAGGATCTCCACGATATAATTCAGAAACTACGATCCTCCTCTCTGTTTGCTTTTTCTTGACCATTCTATCCGAGATGACGCCAACAACTTCTGAAGCTGTGCCTCTTCTCGGAGTGTTCTTTTCAGCATTAACGTTCATTGTTGCCATTTCCACCACATTCACAATTCTGGTATTAAATATCAGATATCGTCAGATTACGAACCATTATCTCACTCCTCTAGTAAGACATTCTACAACTTTTTCAGCTAACTTTTTGTTTTCAGTTTCGATCGATATTCTTGGAATGGTTACCTTGGTGTATGATGATGAAACGCCCTGATCACAAGTTCCGCAAAGGATCCTCATACCGAGATAGTTCTGCAGACCATTGTGTTCAAGTGAGTCCGAAAATAATTTTCATAGCTTCAAAATTTCAGTTTCAGTGTGCAAAAAATGCAGAACTAAAAAGCATTCTTCGTGGTGCTGATAATCAACAACAAGTGGATAACGATACACTATATCCATTCCCAGCTGAAACTCTTTCATTGTCTAGAAAAGTTGGAGATGTGAGTTTTATTTATGAAAATTATTTATTGACATTCAACCCAAAAGTTTGCATGAGCCCGTAATAAAATTTGAACAATAGTGAAATTATAATAATGACTTCTTCCTATTGGAATATCATACAGTAGTTGCGAGCTGCATGATGGAAGAAATTGATACAAGTCCTACTGTAGATCGGGAGAATTTCAAGATTTTTCAAATGATCATTATTATTGTGCACTTCAATTCGAAATGGTCGAGCAACTATGTCCGATATCTCCGGAATCATTGCGGCGCACTGAAAATTTTCAGATTAAGATTTGAAGAAACATTAATTCAAACTTTTTCATAACTCCGTTTATTAGATACGACATAGAACAGGAATCTTCGAAAAACTTTTTGTTCAGAAGGACTCAATGTTGAAAGTGGGGGGTTATGCTTTACAATCTGAAGATTAAATATGACATATCCTTCTTGTTTTTCATAGAGCTTACCGGTGCTTTCCAATCATCTAATCTATACGACGCTAGTAGTTGTTTATGTCGTTCACTGCATTCCACATCCTTCTGATAAAGCAATAAAAGCACAGCTAGCTGTTCGGATTCTTTAGTTATATTCACTGAAAGACCCGACTTTTTTGCTTCTTTCATTCCCATCATCCAGATTTTATCGGTATAAATCAAGTAATCATTCCATCGTTCTTCAATTAAAAAAGTCTCCATAATTCCAAATAGAATCAGAAGACGTTCCATCAAGTCGGGTAGAACCTTCACTGGTAATGCTTCTAATCTTTGTTCTCCTCTCAAAAACATATCTCTCGCTTCTAAAGGTTTATCAATACTGAGAAGTGCAAATCCAGCTTCTCTGGATAAAGTATGAACTACTGATGGATCCATGTATCTGACTCCCACGTTCAGTGCTTTATCGTAAAGATGGACAATGTCTCCGGCGAAATATTGTTCAACTGAAAATAATTCCAATTTACAAAACTAAAGTTTAAGAAAAACTAACATGGCAGAACCGTATCTCTTTTAATTATTTTCACCAAGTTTTGAGCTCCTGCTTGATAATAGAACATCAATTTTCCGTGTTCCGGTCTTCCCACTTTATCCATATTCCTGTTTTCTATAACATCAGCCAGCTTCTCATAGGTCAGTGACATGTTCAGGTAATCTTTTTCTTCTCTGAAACTCAACATTATTTGCATAAAACTTTTGAAACGTACTGCAGCACTTTCAATTTTTGTAAAAGTTGCTCCTCTGTTTCCAAGGATTTTGCCGCCTCCTGTTCCATGTTCCTTTTCGGTGTCAGAGACAGCTTTTGTAGCATATTCCTTGCCTTGGATTCTGCCATTATTTCTCAAATCTGAAACTTTTTCAGGGACTTTTCATTCAAAGGAGATGTCAAGTGCACGAAGCCGCCAGAAGTGAGAAATTTACACGAGGAATGAGAGCATGTGAAAGAACACTCCGGGAAGATGGTCTGTCGACTCGTTAGACTTTATCATAAACTTAATAAATTCAGGATCCGAGCTAGCAAATGTTCTAGTCACAATTATAAAAATGTACGAAGTAATGGTTACTCAAGTTGAACGAATTCGTCAAAGGATTGCTCTGAAAAGAAAAAGAAAGGATATTCAGGTCAGTTATGGAGAAGAGAGTAGTCAATAGATAGAGTGGCCGTGGAAGAGAATCTCGAGTGGAGTGTCTGTGTCTCTTGCGAATGAACAGTGTTTAGAGAGTTGGGACGGGGAAAAGAAGAGTGCGCAACAAGAAGTAGGAGAAGGGACACATTGAACATGAGAGCTTGAAAAAAACAATTTCTGATATAAAATACTGTGGAACAATGCAAATAATTCCATAAGTAAAGGTAGAGAATACCAAAAAGAGTTTAATACACTACCGGTTCATAAGATACCCAAAAACATATTTGCTTTTTTTTAATTTTCGGTCACTTTGATAATTTCCAGGAGGTTGGAGCTCGGTTTTCAAGTTTCCGATTACTTTAAAAATCTTGGAAAATGTAAAACAGATCTAGATTGAAAACTTTGAATTTACAGAATTTTTTGAAAATTTTTAGCTTTTCAGGTATTTGCCGATTTCTGAAAGACCTTTATTTTTTCACGTTTTCAGTAAAAACTGGCCAAAAAAGAAGGGCCTTTCAGAAACCAGCCAGTAGCTGAAAACTAGAAATTTAGGTATGTTTTACATTATTCAAAATTTTAAAAATAATCGGAAACTGACAGCTCCAGACTCCTGAAATTGGTCAAAATCAACTGAAAAACGCGGTTTTTATGAAAAATAAAATGTATCAAAAACAAGTGTACTGATTAGTCAGACTTTCGTCTGTTGATCCCTTTCGCCACGTAGAGGCTCAGTACATGAAAGAGAAACAAGGGTTGTTTGCCAATGGGAACACCTTTTAAAACCCATAGGAGACGGGGGGAGGGGTCCCCAACCTCCTAACAAAAAAAAATATCCAGAAGTCACCCGAAAACCCTCTTTTCGGAGACCATTGTTGGTTAATTTTCAAAAACTCCTTCTCCCTGATAAGAAGCCGCATTGCATACCGCTTTACATTGTTGTCTCAATTTTTTAAATCTTTGATAAAATCTCTTGCTACTGGGGGACGTTCAGTGATAAAACACCTAGCCATGAACCCCGAAACATGGCGACCCTTAGGGCCTTTTAGTACTTTTTCACATAGGACCTATCGACAGAAAAAAGCAAAAGAAACAACAATAAGCAGCGTAATGCACCAGCGAGAAAGTGCCTGTGAAAATTATCCAAAAATAAAATTCAAAGAGTGGGATTTCACAGAGAACTGATTTTTTTGCAATACGTGGATTTTTTCAACGTGGACAGAAGGAGTGGACGTGACCTATAATTGAACGATTTATTGAATTATTGCGTAACGTGAATAAAACTCTATGAATTAAATAGAGTTTGACATGACCTTTTGAAAAAGAGAAATCGGAAAGTGAGGAGTGGATCGATTAACAGTAGAATAAATAGGTTAAATCGCGCCGAAGGTTCATGAGCCACTGTTTGAAGCGCCGGAGCCGCGGCAAACAAGCTGATTAGTTTTTGAAAACCATGTTCTACTTAAAAGTTAAAATCAAATCACTCTACTGTATTTTTAGGACGAATGGAAGTTCGCCGCTCAAGCAGTTGATCGTTTCTGTCTTATAATTTTCACAATTGTCTTCATTATTTGTTGTTCCATTTTTGTGTTCATCCCACCAATCAAAATTTTGGATTGATGGATTTACAGAAAATAATAATTTTTATTAATTAATAAAAGCTCACACACAAATATCAGCAAAAGAAAATATTGGGAAGATGAACCGTATTGCAAGTTTTTTGGTCAGTCATTGAAAAACGGGATTGGGGGATTTTCATTGTGTTCATAGACTAGATTGGAAAGAAGCGGGTATTCAAAATTATGAAAACGGATAAATGTTTATTTCCTTGGAGATGGCGGAATTTCTCTTCGTTGACCACTGCTGACACCGGTCATACTTCGACGAACTGGCTCTCGTTTCATAGTTCCACTTTTCGTAAATACCTGAAAGAGTTTTCATGGAAACTTATTTTATAAATGATATATGCCCTACCTGTCCAATTTTTTCAGCAAAGTTTACACTACTGATCGACTCATTCAGACTTTTAGAATCTGGAGATAAGTGAACAATAACGAGCGTCTTACTGTCACCATCTGTAAAAGTTTTATAAATAAATTTTTTAATGAAATGAAAATAAAACTAACTCAAACTATCTTCCAAGATTCTTGTCAACTGACAATTCCTGAATGGAATGTGTTTCTGATTCTGACGAAGTGCCAGCACAACATTACCAAGTTCAGATAATGACTTGTTTATAGCTTGAGCTTCTTTGAGCAATTGTCCGGTTGCATTTGTTTGTGATACTCTTTCGGATCCAGCAAGATCCACCAAATTCAAGCGACCTAGAAAACAAAACTAGTTCGGGAAACTTCCACTTTCAAATATCACACTCACCAACTGTAGTGACTTTTGTGATAAGATTGGTGGCAGATACAAGAACTCTAACAATCACATGGGATCTACTAGATTCAATGTTAGCTTCGGTTGCAGCGACTGCTTTATTCTTTCTTCCACGTGCCAATGTCTCTGTGACTTCTTGAGCAGAGCTAACAGTGACTTCTTCTAATCCAGGAATCGAACCTTTTCCTTCCTCTGTTTGTCGAATCGTCAGATTAGTATTGGAAGTGTTCAGCAAGTCTCTGAAAACATGAATTTTATATAGAATATTTGTCGCAAAATGGAGACTCGCCTGATCTTCTCGTTATAGATTTCCATCATTGCAACTTTGATATCATATTTAATATCTCCAGTTCTCTCTTTTGCTGTTTCGAACAACTGCATAATAGCTCTCTGATTGATTCCTGGTAGTTCTACAGGTCCATCCATCGTGTATGTTTTTCCACTACCCGTATGTCCATATGCAAAAATGCAGACATTGTATCCATCGATACAAGAAGTGATGATTGGAGATACTTCATTGAAGATTTGTTCTTGAGAGAAACCCGTTGGGATAACTTTATCAGCTCCGGCACTAGTTTTTCTGGATCCAGATGTGTTCGAAACATGGACCACTCCGTTGTCCATTTCATCAATTACCACAACGGGCTTTTGATTATCGGACTCTGATGCTAGTTGAGGACGAATACGGTAGAAAACCCGAATGTTTCCTGAACAACATCATTTATATTTTTTATTAGACCCTGTAGAAAAACCTACCATTCAATTCGACCAACTGATTATGCAACTGCTTTCTTTTTTCCATTTCAGCCTTATACCTCTCAATCAGAACTCGGAAGAAGTCTGTAGTTTTGGAAGTCAAGAGCATGTTCATCTCAGCCATGCACACGTTGAATGCATCCTTCGTATCCACTGCTAGCCTTCTCAGCTCGTCTTTCTCGTTTTTCAATTCTTCTGCACATCTTTGAAGCTTTTTCCATTGACCTTCTTCTCTCATGGATTGGACCATTTGAGGGTATGGCTTGATGACGTCACCAGTTGGTTGTGGACTCACGGATCTGGGAACCGAACATGACGAATCACGACTGGAAATGACACAACATATTCATGCAGATACGTGCAAATAAATGTGTTTTATTGAATACATGACTTTCAATGTACTCTAAAACCTGTATTAGAAAGGCCCCTTTATTAGAAAAGTCCCTTTAATAGAAAGGGCCTCCGAGGGAGGCTTGCAAATTTGAAGGAACCTGTATTAAAAGGGCGCTTTTTAAAATGGTTTTTGAATCTAAAAACTTCTGTACGTCTTCAGTGAAAAGTATAACGTAAATTCCACAATTTGTCGAAACACTTTCTTTTGATTAAAAACTTTCTCAAATTTAGCGAAATACCGAAATTTGAGAATTAATCGCCGTTTCTCGATGAAACATTTCGGAAAAATTGCTAGCAAAATAGAAGGGCCCCTCTAATAGAAACACCCTTCAGAGGTACCTTAGAACAATAGAAGGGCATGCCCTTCTAATACAGGTGTTACGGTATTCAACCTCAAAAATTTTTTTTTAAGTTTCACGAACAAAATCACAAAAAAAAAACAATAAGTCCACAGTAACTCACCTCAATGCAAATCGATCCTCATTACTCGTCATGTCACTCTCATAGTCCTCATCCGTCTCCAGAATTTCATTCACTCTTGCCACTTTTTGCATCTGACTTAACGCACTTTTCAGTCGTAAATTCTCTTCCGAAAGTGTACCGAAGTCCAGTGATAGAACTGAAATTCCTCTGAGCATGTTTGATCGATTAGTGTAGGTTGTTGCTCGACCTGTAACCCAATTACTCTAGTTTTCTCATCCTTTGTTCATTCCAATTAACCGGGGTTAGAAATATTTGTATAAGCATTAGAAAGTTATTTAGAGAGTTACAAATGCAATTGTGTTTTGCCATAAGTCACTTTTATTTTCAAACGATATAACTTTGTGAAATGGGCCGGATTGAAATGATTCGGATTTCGAAAAAAAAAGAACGAAATTGGATCACAAGTTCGAGAAAAAGAATATTCAAATCAAAAACGAAACAAGAAGAGGGTCACCACTAATACACGAAATCATGCCAATCCGACCACCACAACATAAAAAGGGTTTTTCCAAAAAACAGAGTACTTTGAAAATTTCAAAAATTTTGAACCGAATTATATAATTTGCATGCAAAAGAATAAAATCAACACTAACCTTGAATAAAATCCTCCATATTGGCAATTCGTGATTCCTGTTCATCAATAATATCTTCTAAATTTCTCAGAAGTCTGTCTTTGGTTTCAATGTGTGTCTCCAGGATTCGCATTTGAAGTTTCATATTCACAAGTTCTACCTGAAAGCTTTAAAAAGTGAGGTACATTTCCAATGACATAACACTACTATTTCATAAACGTCAGCAGGTATGTTCGGAGCGGATTCGGAATTCCCAAAATTCGTACCATTTTCAGAATGAAATTCCGAGAAAAAAATTCGGAATGAAATTATGACAGGAATATTTCCGAAGCTTTTTTGGAATTGGAGATTTGTGGACTATGGTATGTCGCGGAAAATTTGCTTAGAACTACTTTAAATTTTGTGTGTTTTCAAAATCTTTATGTTTTCCATTTTAACCTATTCTCGGCGTTTTTGTGATGGAAAAATAAAATTTCAATTTTTAAAAATTCAGAAAATTCCGAAATTCCGAAAGTTTCACATTTAGAATATTTTGGAATTCCGAAAGTTAAAAAATCGGAAAATTCCGAGGTTCCGAAAATCCGAAAATTTCCAAATCAGAATTTTCGACATTCCGATAATTTCCGAAAATGTCATTCCGAAAATCGCTGAACTTCAGGATGTAAAATCAAAAACAATTTTCGTTGAAAATTGGATTTTTAGGATAACGTTTGGTTTCGATACCTTCTGAAAAATTGAACAAACGTTTCGAAAATACTGACCAACCTGTAAAAAAAGGGCCCTCCACTGTCAAGTTTGAGCTAATTTTTCTTGGCTCCTGTGCAACATAACAAAAATGTGTCAATTGACAAAACATTTTTGATTTTACGATAAGCAATTTATATGTTGAAGTTAGGAGTGCCTTCTATTACAGGTTTTACGATAGTCTCAAACGAACCTCATGAATATACTTGCATTGTTGGAATATATCAACTTCGCCAACATGCGAATCCATTTTGAAGTTTTGGAGTAAAATTGGAGAACCTCACTCCTCCTGTCTATATTTGTGTGTGTCGATCGTTTATTTTTCTAGAAAAACAGTAATTTTGGGGTGCGGGGGTTTTCGGGAGAAGGATGGACGAAACGACGGAAAAACAATTTTGTGCTGCCTGTCTTTTCTGAATATTCTTATTTTCAATTCGGGTAAAGTTGTGGAGAAGAACAGGAAATAGGCAACACAGAAACAAACAAAGTAAAAAACGGAATCTGCATTCGATTCAAATCCCTTGTAATTCATATGAAAATAGGATAATCTAGGGACGGTTAGCAACAAACTAGACCAAAAAAAGTTTCCAAAAATGTTTATATGAAGCAGTATAAAAGACAGCTAACCAGGTGTAAGTATGCCTTTAGAACCTCAAGTGGTCTTCCAATTCTATACAAGACAAAATAAATTGTTGGTCAGGTATTATTAGCGGAAAAGAAGAGGACCGAGAAAAAAAAAACGAAGAACTGGTCGAGTATAGGCAACAGAAAAAAGAAGAAGAAGAAGAAGAAAGTGAAGAAGAAGCAGCAAACAGTGATGCCACGTCATAAAAGTGAGAGAAGGTAAACTAATAAATTTAGGAATGGCAAAGAAGAGGATGAAAGTTGAAAGGACAAAAGAGACAAGATAAATGCACATGGGCTTGTTACGATGAAACAGCCGCACAAATCAAACATGAAATTGAATACAATGTGAAAGGTTGGGAGAAGGAGAAGAAGGAAAAATGATGAAAAATTATTTGTGACCTGCTCTCACTCTGGTACTGTTGTTTGCTAACAAAAGTTAACTCGTTTTTGGCAGCCTATTTATGGATTTTTCACAATAAGATCCTTGAATAAAACAACACAGCACGGTCTCCCACAGAACATTTCCGAACTGCAAATTAATTATTGATCTACCGAAAAAAAATTTGGCGCGATCACAATTGTAGGCTTAAAGCCGTATTTTCAAGATTTTTTATCTGATTTTGTGAAGATTCTAGATGATTCAAATAATTTTTAAAAAATTAATTAGCGGTTATATAATCCTGTATAGTCCTTTTCCGGAAGAAAATATTCCAAAAATGGCCAATTTTCAAGATTTTTTACAGAAAAAATGTATCTCCTCTTTCAGTTTTCAACATTTCTAGGAGTTTTATATTTCAA